ATTTGGCATAATTTATTACGTTAACAACCTATAACGTAACAAATCTTTGTATATGTTTTACTACTGTAGTTAAGCTGTTTTAGCATTTCAAGCACACTGCGATTTGAAATGGCGTATCACTTACATATCTACAACTGCTTACGCGAGAGACATCTTTACTCAGTGGCGTGGCCAACGGGCAACAAATGCATTACTCTCCATTCAAATTAGTTGTAACACGAACTAACTGACCGTACGCTCATGAGATTTGAAGTCACGAAGGCGATAATGGTAAACCTAAGCGACAATGATGAGTAACACGTTTCACTATTAGATTTTAGTAGTGTTTAGCAATTTTCTTCAAACTTTGAACACGTTTTCTTGATTATTACTGGACACAAAAAGGTGAAAAAAAAATCAACGATTACAGAAAAAAAACTCTTTCAAGCGATGGGCGTAAAAAGTTTGGTTATAATAGAACGTTAAACAGTATAATCCAATTTTTCAACAGAAGTAACAAAAAAATAAAAAAAGTAAAACCATCATTTTAAAAGCAACATAGTTTCGAATATTGTGTCCAAATTTCGAGACATTTTGTCGGCAAATAACAGTTCCTAGGTTTTGGTGCACCGATAAAACAGCCTTAAGTAACCTTTTAACGTAGACCTGATGATGGGCTAAAATTGTACAGCCCAAACTGATCGGCCAGATATTATAATAAAACCAATTGTAAGTCTTTTTTCTTTTACCTTTTGAAATTGGACAAGCATTTGCAAACAATTCATCACGAATAGATCACTTCGAAAATTTTTTCGTTAGGGGAACCAATCTTGGACGTCTATATTATAATACTAATATACTAATATATATACCATATACTGAGCAATCTGTAGAGCTAAGTGACGACACCATCTTTTTTTGTTCATTGTTTGTTGTGTCTCTGTCTTACATCAAGTAAGTATAGAAGCGTCTCTTTTGGTAAGAGAGAGAGAGAGAGAGAAGAGAGGAGAGAGAGTGGGGAGTTTTAATGCGCTAGAGAGAGATCGAACAACCGCAAGATATCTTGTCGTCAGTATGCGCTGCTGGTATGCACGGTCCATGCTAATATATACGTCTATGGAAACAATTTGTAAACCATGTTTGTTTAGTAAGTGTACCATTCTTTTAGTAATTGTATCATATCTTATAATCTAACGCAGTCACATGCTTTAGTCAGATTTACAAAGTACATATAGACAGGTTTATGATATTTCTTGTATTTTCTCACCAATTTGCCAGACTATGAATATATTTACATTAAAACACAAACCGATGACAAACTTTACCAAATCAGACCGTGATCAGTAAACTGACTGAAACTTTTTCGATTAATTATAGAGGGACACAAGGGTAGAAGCTCTTAAAGAAGTAGCATCCTGCCAAATCAAATTACGAGGTTACAAATTATGGTGCTTTTCACATCAATATTATGAATTTTGAAATTTATAAAGGAAAATGTAGAATTGACGAAAAATATAAGGACTTTGGACTAGGAAGTCGAGTTGTCCTTAAACTCATTGAGGAGATTGGGAGAACACACAGAAAAGTAGTTTACCTTGATTAATTTAAAAGTAATTAGCTATATAACCTTATTAGGGAATTAAAAACCAAACAAACTTCAGTTTGTGTAACAATTAGATCCAATAAAAAAGTTTTCCTAATAACATGAGAAATAATAAATCCATGAAGCATGGAGATTTTGAATTTCCTCAATGGATATCGGAGTGTGGAATTAGAACAATAAAATTGTTCATTTTGCTAGTAACTTTCAAAGATGTAACTGTAAAACATTACAATAAATTTATGGGATTTGTTGACCATGATGACCGTTTCAGAAGAGTTTATTAGTCTTATTACATACGTTCTATGAAATGGTGGAACATATTGTTCTGGGGGTTAATAGACATAGCTTTTGTGCCTATTTAAATACACTTTTTAACTTAAAGCACCCATCAAACAAAGAGAGATAAAGAGGATAGAACTAAGAAAGAAAGACGACCTTCTACAGGAAGTACAGAAAAGTATGCCCTCTATTCGTAACGGAACATCACAAGAAATATGGGAGACTGTTAAAACATTGCGTAACAACACCAGTGGATCGCTCAAAGAAAAATAATCCGGTGAAACGGAAACACTGGATAACAGATGAAACTCTTAAAATAATTGAGAATAGAAGAAATCTTTGTAAAAGTGGTGTACATAGTGAAAGGGAAAAAGCTAGTTTAAGAAACCTCAATAAAGAAATAAAACGAAGATGTAAGGCCGACAAAAAACAGTTCTATCAAAGTATATGCAAAGAAATTGAGAGACATGGTGAGAATAATCAGCCGAGAGATTTATTTAGAAAAATACGCTACCTGACAAGAGACTTCAGAGCCAGAACTTGGGCCATTGAAGATAACACTGGAACCCTGAGAACAAACAGAGAAGACATAGCAGAGACATGGAGATCGTATTGCAGGGACCTATATAAAGATGATCAACGCCAAGAGCTTGTTAGCCAAATCTCTGACGAGGTGGAAGAAGAACCTGATATACTCGAAAATGAAGTAAGACAGGCTATCAACAAGCTCAAATATAACAAAGCACCAGGTCCAGATATGATAACAGCAGAAATGCTTAAAGCCACAGAAGAAACCGGCGTAAAGTTACTTCATCTACTCTGTAACCAAATATGGCATTCCAAACAATGGCCTGAAGACTGGACAAAATCTACAATAACGACCATACATAAAAAAAGGCAGCTTCCATAAATGCGACAATTATAGAACTATCTCTCTTATATCCCATGCCAGCAAGATAATGCTACATATAATCAATGAGAGACTGAAAACATTTCTCCAAAGAGAAATTCCACAAGAGCAAACTGGATTTACCAAAGGTAAAGGCACTCGAGAACACCTGCTGAATATAAGACAGATAATCAAGAAATCTAGGGAATTCAACATCCCACTATACATCTGTTTTATAGATTACCGTAAAGCATTCGACAGGATCAAGTGGAGACACTTATGGCGAATACTAAAAGAAGTAGGCGTACCACAACATCTAATTACGGTTATAACTGAACTATATGAACACACTACTGGATCAGTTAAAGTACTTGACACACTTTCGAACGAGTTTCATCCAGAACGGGGTGTCAGACAAGGATGTATAATATCTCCACAATTATTACATATATGGGGAGTATATTATGCGAAGAGCACTTGAAGGATGGGAAAAGGGCATCTCAATAAATGGTCATAAACTAAACAACCTACGTTTCGCAGATGACACACCCCTTCTTGCAAATAGTCAAGCATAGCTGATGGAACTTATACGACTGATCGAAAACGAAAGTCAAATATTTGGTCTGCAATTAAACATATCAAAGACAAAGATCATGATAGTGGATAGACTACACAACAATCATCCACACATAACCACAAATGACCGGTTCGAGGTTGTGAGCTCATACTTATATCTGGGATCATTATTCGCAAACACAGGGTCATTACAAGAAGAGATTAAAGGTAGATGTGATCTAGCAAAAGTTGCCACATCAAAAATGACCAAAATATGGAAGGAATGTCAAATTTCAAGAGCGATAAAGATGAGGTTGATCAACTGCTTAATATTCCCAATACTGATCTACGGATGTGAATCTTGGACTCTGAGACAATCGGAGAGAAAAAAGATAGACGCCACTGAAATGTTCTGTTGGAGACGAATGTTACGAATTCCTTGGACCGACCGTAGAACAAATAATTCAATTTTAAGAGAGCTAAAAGTTAGCCAACGACTCTCTAGTAAAGTCCATCTCCAACAATTAAAATATTTTGGGCATGTTATGAGAGCAAACACAGAAAACATGGAAAGACTCATAATACAAGGAAAGGTAGAAGGCCGAAGATCACGAGGAAGATCCCCAACAAGATGGATACATCAAATTACAGGAATATGCCAAAGACCTATGCATGAATTAAAAGAAATGACCAGAGACAGAGATCTCTGGAGACGGACAATACACGACATCACGTCGACCACTACACTTCCCCTGGGGGGTCAGAATTGAAGAGAGAGAGAGAAATACACTTCGATATAACAGAAAAACTTTTTTTATTTTTAATTTAGAAAAGAGTTACCATGGGCTCAATGACCCAAAAAATGTTTAGTACAACTAAAAGAAGAATGGGCATCTAATTCAGTCCAGATTCCAAAAAAAATCTTTAGAATGTGTGGATATATGACCAGTTGTATTTGAGGGCGCTCATTACTGTTTATATTCGGCAAACTTGTGCAGGTAAATTAGTTTATCGAACTGAACGAATAAACCCATCTCTAATCTTTACTATTATAGCTGTCGAGTCTTCTTCGCAGTCGTTTGTATTGTTGAAAGTAGGGATTCACAATCGTCAGTGTTGCCGTATTAAACACTTAACTATAATAATGCCTAATAAAAATCAACCAACTGTATAGAATTTTTTATGTCAATTGTAGTCCAATTAATTTCTTGATCTCTTCACTTCATTTTTTTTTCTTCTACGCGATTTTTCTCGTAGTAATTTTTCACGTTTTCGGAAGGTCGTGCGAACGAAGTTGGTACATTTTAAAATCACTCTATTTATCGGGCACTTACGGCGAAATAGCTTATTCTTAATTTCTTAGAAAAGTAAATTTAAAATTATGGTTAAAAACACATAAAGATTCGCTTAAATTTTGTTTTCAGGTAAATTTTATAAATATTCCGACTAATTTGAAGAATATTTTCTATGGTATTAAATCTGCATAATATAAAGTTCCTCAAACTAAGTTTGTGCATTGTCTGTAATTTTTTAAACACCCAGCAACAATATTTATGTAAGCTATTTACAGTTAATAAAAATTTTGAAAATTCTCATTATAATGGTTTGAGAGTATGTAGTCTTTTTTTATGTAAAAAGTTTGTGGACTGATTATCTAGTCATCATGTTACTGTAATCCAAAGTGAGTGCTCTTACCTCTTCTCCCACAGTACTTAAGTATGGTCGCGTCTGACGCTGAAATTGATTTTTTTCTAAGGAGAACTGGTCTTCGGTGGTTTTCCGGTACACTGGGTTATCGAAGTTCATTGATGCCATATTGCGATGCATCAGATGCTTGTAGAGGAAGTATATCACCTGTGGAAATAAAAATTTACAAAAGGTATACTCTTGTTTTATTTACACTAATATTATAACTAGAGACTGGATTGTATGCAAAATGCATGTGCATATATATGCAGCATATTTGTGGGTTTCTTTATAAGTGCATATGCTATTCATATTTACTTGATTGAGAGCAGATTGCCACATATTTGAAAATATCACATAAATAAAATGGTTTTCATAGCAGGTACTAGGTAAGTACGAAATAATTGTATTACAAATATCTACTAAATCTAAAAGTTTTATTGTTTGGGAAAACCCATCTGGGAATTATTTATCAGAAGAATAGGGCCAACATGCAGCTAGGTATTATACAGTAAATTCGTTTTTAAATTCTCTTTACCAGCTGGCAAAGCAACTTGTCATTGTGAATATTGTGCTTATAAAATAAAAATAATTTCTTCTCTAACAGTGAAATGAAGATTATAGACAATGAAAGTGTTTTCGGTACTATTTGTGATGAGAAGGTGAGTCCACTTATATTTTTTTTTGATGTTTTGGTACATGCACCGGGTCCAGCTTATTACAAACATGTGTATTAGTTTGATCCGCCAACCCCAATTTGCCGGAAAAGAGAAAAAATCGAATTAAAAATTCTCAAGTTTTTCAGCATATACAAACGTCCAAATTGAAAATTTTTCTCACGAACCGTTAGATGTAGGAAAAATCTGAGTATATCAGAAGAAAGAGCGGGCAATTTTATGTAAGAAATGTCCACCCGCTTGACTCTCGGACCAAAATTGACGCCAATATAGCCGAATAACGAAATTTGAAAAAAATCCAAGGGTACCCCCTTTGTTCATTTCACCCCAATTTTTTTGTAAGTTGCAATATCCCACTGTATAAATTGGATACCAAGGTGTGTCAAAATTTTTTGAAAACATATTGTAAAGTTGAAAGTAATTCAGTTCAGGTAACAAGTTCTTCAACTCTTCGCAAGAAATATGTGAGGGCATCTTACAAAGACGTTACTGAAGGTATTAAAAGCCGGGTAAAAGATGACTATCTGTGTATATCCGTCGACGAGACTACTGACGCCAAGGGTCGGCAAATCGCGAATTTAATTATTGAAGTTAGCGATGCCGCTTCCTACATGGTTAAAGCTGTTACTAGTCTTAAGATTTTTTTTTCCGAATTTGATTCATTGTACATGCTTAGCGCATGGTTTAAACAGGGTGGCAGAGAAAGTTAGACTCGAGTTTCCAAATGTAACACTTTAATCAGCAATGTAATGAAACTATTTTTAAAGGCACCATTGCGAGTAGAAGTATATAGGGAGATGCTTCCCGATATCCCTTTGCTACCGGAACCAGTGTTGACTAGATGGGGGACATGGTTGAATAGTGCCATATTTCTTGCAAATAATTATACTGATATCAAAAATGTTATATCAAATTTTGATCCTTCTTGTTGTACTGCTGTTCAGAAATGTCAAAATAATTTTAGTGAGAATTCTGTTCAGAATGAACTATCCTATATAAAAGCAAATTTTGACGTAATTGTAAACTCTATTACAAAACTAAAGAGTCAAAAATTACCTTTAAATGATAGTATTTGCATTGTTGGTTTTGTCAAAAAAAGAATAGTAAACCTTTTAGGGGCAATTGAAAAAAAAATAAAGATAAATTTAGTGAAGTTTTAAACCGGAATGAAGGTTTTTCTTTATTGCGATCAATAAATAACATAATAAACGGAAGCTTTAACGAAGTTAAATCCTGTAAACATCCTGTGATGTTGAAAGATCGTTTTCCTCATATAAACACATATTAACTGATAGAAAGCATAACATTACTCTTGAAAATATTGAACATTTTATGATTATACATATACTATAACAACAAGAACGAGGACATTTTCTTGTGAATTTTCATTTATATTTTGTTATTAAATGTAGTAATAAATAAACACTCTCAAGTTATACTATAATTTTATTTCTTACCAAATCTCAAGCCCTAAAAATAAAAAAATATTTTTTTAAAGTGCATGTTGCATGCATATTTTAAACATTTTTTAGAGCATATAATCAAGTCTCTAATGATAACGCAAACTTTGATGAAAATTTTGTGATTATACAAATTTGTGTACTTACCCCTCCCACAACTGAGACCGATATACACGATATCATGATGGTAATGCCAGCAATAACACCATTGTCGGTACTTTCAGTTTGCGGCGTATTAGGATGAGACTTGTTTGATGTACCTTAAACAGGAAAATACAATTAGAATACATAATATATTATTATCGTACTGGATAATTGTTAAAACCAATATTCATTAGGTTCCAAAAGCACTCTGAAAATAAAAACTAGCCACTATAATCTATTCCTAGGGTCTGAGTTTGAATTATGGCGTTTTGTGAAGCCGTCTTCTCGGAATTATACAAGTTAGAAAATTAACAAGAATGCAAGAATGTAGGGAAATATTTGAAGTCCATTCTTTAACTATAGTCAGAGCCATTGAATTGTATCTTTGACTGTACCATTAAATTTACCGTGCGCCAAGATAATCAGGTCATCCGCATAGCTCAGGATATAATGCCTCTCGTTGCTGAGTCAATCAGCCTATCCATGAGCGGATTCCACATGAGAGGAGATACGATTTTCTCTGTGGCCAGCCTTTGTCAACCAGTGTTGACATTGTATCACTCAGTAAGGATGCGTATATTAAACTTTAAAACGCACAATCTATGTATCTGTAGCTTATTTCGTCTATACCTTCTAGCCGAATTTCCCTTTAGATCAGGGAATTAACTATTTTCCCATTACACTTGTTTATACAGGTATCCAACAACTGCTTTTAAGAAATTTGGCGATAACAATATGTAAAAACATAGAAAATCCTTTAAAATGAGGGTTTGTGTAAAGTCATTTTATTAATTTGTTGCTTAATTATTGCAAAAATAGCTTTTTTGAAAAAGAGTAAATTTTTTGAAAACTATTAATAACTTTTCTAAAAATGCACCAAAAAATTGATTCGCACGAGAATAAGGACAATATCATAAATATTCAGCTTTAAAAATTACAAGAAGTTTCACTTAATAGTTATTGCAAAATTGAAATTGTTTATATCCAAAAGGCGCCTATACACTCGTAAAGTATTAGGTCTACAGAAAATTGATGAAAAAGGCTTATTTTATCAAATTAAATAGGTTTGCAAAAAGTATTATAATTTTAAGATTATAAACAATTAAAATAATTCGGATTTTGAAAGATTTAAAGATTAAGGGGTCACGTTTGGACAAAAAAAATTAAAAACGATTCTCTTCTCTCTTAGGAAGCAACTCTAACATGGCTTCGAATGGACGCAAATAGTGACATCTGATATTAAATCAGTAAACTAATTTTCGAAACCAAATTCATATTTTTGCTTTTGCTGTGCCTTCTAAGAATTGCAAGCAAAACAGCCGTTGATAAAGATGTTATTAGAGACATGGGTAATCTAAAATTTGCATTCCACAACATATCTCCTCTGTTGTCTCCTCTCCATAACCATGTAATTCTTAGACAGCGAGTTATCCTTGTTAAAATATTTTTACTAATACTTAAAGGTTTAAAGATTATAATGCTTTTTATAGAATTGCAATTCATTTAGCGGTTTTTTAGAAAAAAAAATCCCAAAAATTACTGTTTTTTTTAACAAAAAATTGCAAATAACTCGAAAAAGAAGCATTTTTCGAAAATTTACCAAAATAGAAAAAGTATTTATTTCGATGAGATAAAGCCTAAAAAAATTTACTCAAAGCGATTTGAGAAACTGTTTTTTTGTTCTGTTATTTGTTAATAACTATTTCCGGTCCATTTGGAGAAATTAAAAAAAAAATACATTTGAACTTGAAAGAATATGTATATAAATCAAATAAAAAAGGTTTGGTGCGGTAGAAATGCAAAAAAAATTAGTCGGTTTATGCTCTGTTTGTAGGGGTAAACCACTCACCTATAAGGTTAGTATCATTCCACCAAACACTGTTTTAAAAGTAAAAAATGTGTTAATTTATCAGCTTATGTTCTATATTTAGTACTTACTCTTAGGAACCACTACTACAGGTTTTGATGTTAATTCGGGAATGCTCACAGAATAAGAGGTAGTTGTAAAGTCTACAAAAAAGCAAAATCAACTAAAACAACCAAATGCAAAAAAATAGTAACTAAAATTAAGAAAAGCCATTACTATACATAGAAAAAACTAAACTAAGCGTTAAATAATCAATAAAATAAGCAATTATGTTACAGATTTTATAATGTTAGCGTTTTTCTTTTCAATTTTCATATTTTTCAGTGGTGGTGTTAAAGGGTATGAAATAAAGTCAACTGAAGGCAAAAAATAAGAGAAAAATGAGTTGGGACTCGAGAGGTAGTAAAAGAATGTGGAAAAATACGGCTATATTTCGTTTGAAAATTATTTATAGCACAGCTTTTGTAGCACAGTTGGAAGCTGATAACTTCCAACGCGTAATAACATAAATCAGTGAAGAAACGTCTTAAACAATCAGTTAAAATTTTTTTTGCCTCAAATGTTACAATTTTATTTTTTTCTTCGTCAACCATTTTCCATCCAGTCCTGAATGTAGGTCTCTCCCAATTGCTTCAATCTTTCTCTATCTTGCATCAATCTAATCCAGTTTGCCTTCAACTGCTCTTATGTCATCTCTCCATCTCTTTTGAGATCTTCCAATGCTTCTTGTTGTCCTTCTTAGTCTCCATTCTAGGATTCTCCGTATCCACATATTATCATCATATGACAGCAGCCCAGCGACATTTCATTTTTTAATTTCTTCCACGATATCCTCGATCTTCGTTCTACGTCTTATCTCGGTGTGTCTAATCATGCCTCTCAGTGATATTCCAAGCATGATTCGTTCTATTGCTCTTTGCGTTGTTTCTAGCTTTTAGCAGATTTTCTGGAAAGGGTTAAGGTATCCAAGCCGTAGGTACCAACTGGTAGTATGCATGTGTTATACACGTTTTTCTTGAAATTTTTAGGAATTGAGGTGTTTTTCAATGTTGTATGCTAGTTTATCGAATGCGGCCCATACCAGTTGTGTTCTTCTTTCAATTTCAGCATCTTGATTTAGTTTTACCAGTTTTATGACGTGGCCCAGATAAACATAATGTTCAACATTTTTTATGGTATGGTTTTGTATTGTTACCATGGACGTGATCATACGTCCATGATTGTTACATTTGTCTGGTACTGGCTCAATATTTTTGTTTTACTGTAGTTTATTTTTAAGCCTACCGCTCTAGAAACTTTTAATTTTAAAACTCTTTCCATATTATTTCTGTGACATTTTAATTTATTTCGGTTTTCTAACATCTTAATGTACATTAGTAAATTAAACAAATTTTGCTTTTTTGTTTCTTAGTGAAACGTATCTATATTTACTTGATCTGACTCAGTTATATTGACAATTTAGACGTACATTATACATTTTAAAGTAGACGACTTTAAAATGATATTGCCAATGTTGTTGAGTCCGCTCCTGGGATGACTTTACTTATAAGATAGTTCATTCGATTACATGAAATCAACTTTAACTTGATAATATCCGTCAGAAAAATCATAGCATGTAATTCGTCTTAAAAAAGACAAACACATGCCATGATGACAGTAACATTCTCCTGTTAGTGATTCCATAGTAAATTATGAGGGAAAAACCAGAAAAAATCCTCATAATACTATCCCGATATGGTAAGTATTTGGTTGTGCATTTAGTTTACTTTCAATAAACATCAAATTCTGATTTAATATGTTTGTTATTTAAAAAAACATAAAAGATGTATCCTCTATGTGTTACTGACTTACTAATACTGGTATTTTCCTTTTAATAACTTCCTCTTTCGATATGGGTAACCCGATCCTACTACATTCTGCCGAGGAATTTGCGACACAATTGGTCTCATTTAGCATAGTTAGAGCGCTTCTTTGATGTTTCTCTTTTACCATCCGTTTCTTTTAGGATATTTGAATCATTCCATTGAACCCTATGTTGATTATCCCATGCGTGTTTACTTATTTGAGATATATCTCTATTTGTAATATAAGATTGATGTTCACTTATTCTAACATTTAATGGCCTTGATGTTTCACCTAAATAAAACTGATCGCATTCACAAGGTATTTTATAAATGCAATTCTTTGTCCTTTCTTGTTCATTGTTAGGTTTGGTTTTGGATAAAATAGATCTCAACGTGTTTGTTGTTTTGATTGTTGTTGAAATGTTGAATTTATTTCCTATCCTTTTAAGTTTGCTGATAATCCTTTTATGTATGGTATTGTTATTTTCCTCGTATTATTCCTTGTGTATGTTGTAGGATTTCGTTCTAAGTTGTTCTGTTCTATTCGATCATTTGTTGTTTATAAACGATAAAGGATAATCATTTTTTAATAAAGCAGATGTTATCATCATCATCATCATGGCATTACAGCTCGTTATGAGCCAAAGCCTTCTTCAGAACAATCTTCCATTCGCCCCTCTCTCTGGTAACTCTTCTTCATGCTTTAACTTCGATGGATTTTAGATCATACTCTATGTTATCTTGATACCTAAGTTTTGGTCTTCCTATGGATCAACTTCCCACTGGTAATAAAACAGATGTTAACAAATGTTTTTCCTCCAAGAACGAATTTTCGTTAGAACAAGTAATTTTGGCTCTATCGTATAAGGACTTAATGATTGCCTTTTTAATAGTAATATTGTGATTTGATTTGAAATTTAAATATCTGTTGGTGTGTGTTGGTTTTCTAGACACCTGAGCCTCATATCCAGTATCGTTCTTAGAGATTAAAACATCCAGGAAAGGTAGTGTGTTATTTACATAGAAATTCCTTTTCTATGGTAAATTTTATTGTCTCTTCTTTATCGTTTATATCATTTAGGAATGTGTCCAACATTCTTAATGTACATATTGCGTTTGAAATATTTTTCTGGATAACAAGTGGGTCCAACCGCGAACACAAAGCAAGTCTATAAATTTTCTTTCTACGCTTAAATTTTTGTATAATTCAATGCGTCTACTAATTATATAAATTATTTCTTTCATCTTTCAGTGGTCGATATCTTCAGTCTCTGTGATTAAAATAGCTTGTTGAATTCGGAAAATACTAGATTTGAGCTTTTTAACACTATTCAGTACTACTAGTATACGACAAAGCTCAATTGAACCGCGACTTTAAGCGACCAGAAAAGAGGCTATTTTACTTCCACTATTTGGCGCGGTGTTGCCAGCTAATTATTTTTTTCAGCATATTCTGGTTAATGATCGCCCGATTAGCTAATGCTCGACTTTTTACACTCAGTTTTTTTCGACATATTTCTAGTAGCGACTACACAAAAATATTTTTAAACGGTACGAAACGAACAGTGCGATATTTATCGATCGACTCAGCATCCTCGTCGACAATTTGCTTCTTGCTGGCATTTGATCTTCGAGGCTCAACTCAAATTTGTTGTATAGTAGTTATATATACGTATCATACGCAGTATGATCATGCGAAGAAGGACGAGTATTACTGATGTTGTGGAACGCATAGCGGAACTAAAATGGAACTGGGCAGGCCATGTAGCGAGAATGCACGATTCACGATGGACGAGCAAAATTACAAATTGGAGGCCAAGAGCAGACAAACGCAGTAGAGGAAGACCACCTACACGTTGGGCCGACGACATCAGGCGTATCACTAAAAATTGGCAACAAAGAGCACAAAATCGTGAGGAATGGAGGAGTTTAAGGGAGGCCTATGTCCAGCAGTGGACGTGATAAATAGAGGCTGGATGATGATGATGATGATCATACGCAGTAGGAGTCATTTTTAGCCTGGTCAAGATAGACATTCACGGTTACAAAAATTCGCATAGAGCTAAAAATCATAAAAGGAGCTTATCATGACATTCTATTCTTTGACCGCCAAAGTTGTGCTATTTGAGAAAATGTCTATCAGGTGAGTAGTTATAATTTTTCAATTAGTTTATATTTTACTTTTACTGTAAATAAAGCACTAACAGTTTCTTCTTTCACTTCTTTTCAGAAAGAAAAAATAGATATATTCATGTACTATTGGTCGTCCAATGTTATTTTTTTATCTGTCATGTAATGAATATAAGCAGTTACTTCTAATTGATGTTCCTTCTAATGGACTTTTAGAGCACTGATGTAGGGCTTGATAGGGACATATTTACATTTCATTTCTTATTGTGTTCTGAACATTCGTACCAATTGTTAGCTATACGCGAATTTTTGAAACCTTACCCTTATTTTTTGGACTAAATTGACCGGGTTATTGTGTGATAAAGAAAAAAGTTAAATACGTGTTAGTCAATTTATCGTTTAAGCCCTTATCTAAAAAGATAAAGATTATACTTACTGTCTGGTATAAATTCTACAGATATGGTGGTTATTTCAGGATTTATCACGGAATTCGAGGTAGATGCAGTAATGTTTTCTGTTAATAAACAAAAAGTGCTTAAAATAATGACAAAAATATAAATAAAAAATATACTAATGCATGCTAAATGTCTATGTTATAAACAAAACAAAAATCACTAAGATGTATAAGTATAAATAGAAAGTCAGAGCTAAACAATAACAGGCAGTATTCTAATGTTAAGTTAGCGATTCTTGTTTAAAAAGTATACAAAGATGGCTGATATACGATGATATCTCCAATAAATGTGATTAAAAGTTTGGTATTTAAAAGTATATCCTTCTTTACTGACACTTCAGCAATAGTAGTGAGATATTGACAAGTAACGGATATTGGGTAATGGCTAAAAATTGGATATCTTTTAAAGAGAAAAATAGTGAAATTGTTTTTTCCGGAGATTTGCTCAGTAAAACATGAGTCCATTTCTACATATCAGAGACGAAGAAACAGTCAAGCAATAGCAGAGAAACGCGGCGAAGACGCACTAAAGAAAGCCAAGAGCACCTGATCGGTGATGACGACAAATTAATTTGTTGAAAAAGGGTACAACAATAACTGGTCTCTACTATGCGGCTCTATCAAGGAAAAACGCCCTGGTTTGTTCGCAAAAAAGATAAAATGACCTTGTGACGTATCTGCCCATACGATACACGTAAAATTGGGACCATCAGCCACCGTTTTCACACAATTTAGCTTCGTGACACGTTTCTTGTTTCCAAACTTAAAGAATGGCGACAAAGGCACCGTTTCACAGAGAACGATAAGGTCCCTGCTGAAACATTATATTATTTTGGGAACCTCTAAGAAAATAACTTTTAGGAAGAGATAACACAAAACAGCTGGTTGCATAGGTAAAATTACACCAATTGGGACGAACATGCACCGTATTCACCAGACTTAGCTCCGTGCGACTTGTCTGGTTTCTAAACTAAAAAAATTGCTATGAGGAAGCTGCTTAACAAAGAACGATTATTTTTAAGAAGCTCGAAAAAAATACTGTTCAGAAGAGATAAAAAGTTTTAAACGTTGTTTTGAATCTCGCGACTCACGTAACTCGCCAAGTGAAATAGAAAATAGATAATTGTGAAAAGAAAAGAGAGCACCGTTGGCGCGCCACGTAACTGTGAAATTAATATTTACTTTTTGATAAATTCACTCGACTTACCCCAAAATGTGGTTGCACCCTTCATGGATCGACGGTTTAATTTATTTTAGTCTGTACAACGCTACCAGTGTTGGCGGTAAGTTGATTAATTCATACAATGATAAAAATTCCTACACAACTTTATCAGACTCCATTCGTTTTACTCCATAGTAAAATTACCACGACACTGACTGTATCAGCCCCTAGCCTAGACGCGTCGGAAGGGTTGGAGGGGTAATACTTGCTGAGCATCAGCTTCCGACCTTCCTTTGGATCGTATCGATTTTCAGACAAATGACAGGACTGTCCGCACTGACCATAAATTGACAGTTCTGTCATATTTCAACAATCGTAAATCACAAATATGAGGGGGCATTCCACGTTGCGTTAGTTTCGGTCTTTAGATTTTGTCTTTTTCTATTACCTATTTTCTATTTCTCTTTGCCTACTGTGAACCGACGAAGCGCTTCTGTTGGTTTCCGGGTTTACAAGGCTAGATTAATGCCAGGCTACGGTTAGATTATTTTCGTAGCGGTTTCTTGTTGAAAACAAAAGTGATAGGTAGAGGAAGGGTCCAAATGTCTCGTCGAAGATTTAATAAAAATTAATCCAGGCTAAAAACTCAAAAAATACGTATTTTGTACCTATAAACGCTCATAAATAAAAAATAACCAAAATTTTTTGTTGAATGAACTGGGGGATTGCCTGAGGGTGCCCTTTATAACTTAGACCACATTACATAAATTCCTGGATTACAGTGTAAAATCACCCTTTTTCTCCCATAGCCTGGGCTAAAGATGGGCGTTATATAACGTATTCGGATATTTCTAATCTATAAAATATCTAATATTTCATTTATAATTTATGTATAGTATAGTAGTTGAATCATCTATTTTTGAGCCTCTGTCAGCTGTATATGTTTAATATTTATTTTTAACAACCATCAAACGTATGAAGAATGTTTATCACTCACGGTTGAAAAAAAAAAAACTGTAAATACTTAATAAAAAGTATTCGTTTATTGAAAAAGATATGATTACTACAAGAAACTATAGCAAGCCAAGCGAAATGGAGCTGCTTGCAGCTTGGGTAATAGGCGACAAAAGTAATAGGTTACCGGAACCTATTACCTGTCTGTCACCGGAACGATGGAACCTATTACTACAAAGTAACTGTATTTTCCATGACTAGCCTGGGCTAAATAAGAAATTACTGATATAAAGGCACAAGAGTGTCTAGATGAAAATATGGAACGTTCGAGCCTTCTAAACTAATACAAAATAAGTACAATAAAACTTCAGGAGCACTTTAAACTTCTTATTTTGTTGTTTAATATTCAAAAATCAAATTAAAACACAATAAAAAGAGTTGAAGACATTAGTAAAACATGGAACATACCTTTTAAATACCGTATTTCCCAAATTCAAATTTAATTAAACGCTACGTTAACATGCTCACATTAATTATTGGAGATTATGATTAACTGTACCCAGGTATATAAATATTCATGAATCTTACCATCCTGGACGCATGTCAGGCCGTCGTCTAACATTCTCAGGGAATCAGGGCAGGCACACGAAATTTTCGGAGACATTGGGTTGATTTGTGGAGCTGGTAGGCACAGATGGGAACAATGGCCATTGACAGCCTGGCAATGGTTTTCACCGTCCGGTTGTCTGTATGGATGGTAAACGTGAATCACCATCGGGTTTTGAATCTAGATATTACATATAGGTACATAGGTAAATCAACAAGTTTAATAATTTAAATTAAATAAACATTATTTTAATCTAGGCTAAAATATTCAATTACGATAATTAATTTGTAGGTAAATTAAGTTAGTTTTTACGCATCTGTATAGACGGGTTTGATAGTTGAAATGTGTAATATGAGATATTACAAAAAAGCTCTCATCTAGGGATTCATCAATTTTTTAGTGGAAATATTTTTAAATTTAGAATCAAAACGCATTATTTTGCTCATAACTTAAAAACTTGTCTATTTAGACTATTTAGAGATTTGACATTATCAGACAACTTTTTCAGAACAAAAGATACACAAAATGAGATATGCTAAATGGAAATCGAATAATAATCAAAAAAGTTATTGCATAAAGATTTTTTGAAAAACTCATTTTTATGGCTGGTCCAGATAATTTGACTAAATGGAACTCAATAATCCAGGGCTTATTTTCTCCGTTTAAGAAAATTACATTTATGTACACAAAATGAAATGATTTAATAACAAATAAAACTTTTTAAGCTTATAAACATTTACAATAACTCCGTAGAATTGAGTTCAAATTAAATGCCTAAAAAATATTTGAAAAGCTCGTTAGAAAACACAACTTTTAAAACAAAAAAATGTTCTAATGCCCTTAGGAACCCATATAGCCCCTTTTAACAAAAGTTTTAGCAAACAAAATTATTAAAAATTATTTAAACAAAGTGTACTTTTCGTTCCTGCTAGAGTAAAAGAAGTGAGGGTAACCGACTGAAGTTACTGGCCACGTTCTTCAAAAAATCTAACACAGCTTTAAAACAGAGCGGTCGGAAAAAAATTACATATCTCAGGTTATACGGGATCAAATTCACAAATCAAGTGCAATGTGGGATTATGCATCGAGTTCAACATAGACTTGACTCATCTAAAATAATTTGAGTATGTTTTTTCATCTAGTTTTGTATCATTTGCTTGTTATTTTTAAATTTATAATACTGCTCCTGACGTTACATATATGTAACGGCAATTTTCTAAGAAATCAAAAATAATTAAGAAAAAAAGTGTATGATTTTTTTTAAAACCTTCCCCCATATACATCGTAATAAAAAAAATAAAACTTAAACAAATAACAATAAAACTTATTAAACAAATTAAAATTCAGGAATTTAAGGGTTAACTTAAACCACTTTTATATAAGAAAAATGCCAGGGTGTTTTGGCCCATAAAGCCTATTTTTTGAGAAAAGAGGAATCTTTTTACAATTCTCTTGTCTTAACACTGGAAGATATATTCAATAAACTTCTAGTAAATTAGATCAAAACCAGAGCCGTAAAAATAACTTGACATATCTAAAATTATAATTACCATTTCTGTAGCAGTAACTGGCTGTACTTCTTTACCAGTGAATTTATTAGCTTTAAAAACAGCTGCTTTATCCCAATCAGTCCAATAAACCCAGTCTTCGAATGATGTTATAGAAAATGGGTGCTTCAATGCATCAGTCGAAAATAAAATAAGTCTTCTATTTCGCCCGTTGTAATCGCAAGAGGATATAGAATTCAATTTAGCATCTACCCAATAGACTTTCCGTTTCACTAAATCAAGTGTTAAGCCGTTTGGCCATTTGACGTCGAAACTTACAATAGTTTGTCTGTGAGAACCGTCCATACCAGCGCGTTCTATTTTAGGAATAGAACCCCAGTCTGTCCAGAAGATCCATCCTTCCATGGGATTTAACGCTATAGCTCTTGGCTCTTCTAGTCCATCTTTTATTAAAGTTTTCCTCATCTTGCCATCAAAATTAGCAAGCTCTATGGTATTTTTACCGGAATCTGTCCAATAGATATGATTGTAGATCCAGTCCACAGCCAATCCATCAGATGTTGTTATGTCGTTGGTTATTACAGTCGTTTTTTCGTTGCCTTCATCTATAGGAGCTTTGTATATTTTCTTATCAGTAATGTCACTCCAAAATATCATACCCGTTCTAAATACAAAATCTAAAGCAGTCGCTGAGTTAGTTTCATTTACTATACTGGTCATCTCATGATGATCTAAAGAGATCTTACGAATATCCCTCCTTCGGGCAAACAAAAGAGATGCGTGGCCTTCTATTGCTTTGCACTTTGTTAAGTCTCTTGGATCTCCTCATGTAACCACTTTCACATTCACACTTAAATCCACCCTTGTCGTTTATACACAACTGGGAGCAGGTACCTGGTATCTCACATTCATTAATATCTGAAATATAAAATGAAACAATAAGCACTACAGTAAAAACTAGACTAACACGTAAATAATCAAGTGACTAACCTTTGCACGTTTTGTTATCTACAAGTTTATATCCAACTTCACAATCACAGTAAAACGATGCTGGGGTGTCGACACATTTTTGATAGCAGCCGCCGTTATCTACATTGCACTCGTTGACACCACATCGGTCTTTTGGTTCATCTTCCCAGTTGGGACAATCTTGGCGGCCATCACAAACTTGGGAAAATCGAATGCACTGCCCTCCACCACAGTCGAAGTGAGTTTTTGGATCACATTTTGGAGCTGGCAAGTCTAAAGAGAAATCAAATACAGTTTTTTTCACAGAAAACCATTTTAAATGTTTATTTTAAGCAGAAGAAATTTTTGAAAATATCCTTACCACAATTTTCTTCGTCACTGCCATCTGGACAATTTTTGTTTCCATCACAGTGGAGATGCCCGAAGATACACGACCTGTCTTTGCATTTAAATTGGTCTACCCTACATGTGACGTTTAAGCAGTTATCCGCAGCTTCATCAGAACCATCCGGGCAATCTTTTGTACCATCACACAACCAGTCTTTGTGAATGCATGTGAACTTATCTTGACATTCAGCTTCTTCCGGCAGGCAGAACGATATTTTACTAGATTGTTTAGGGCATCCCTAAAGAAGGAAGTTGATTACAATAAAAGTTGATGATGATAGACATCTAATGGCTTACCAATTCATCTTTTCCGTCAGGACAATCGTATTCCCCATCGCATCGCCATTTCGCGGCAATACAATATTTTTGTGAGCATTGAAATTCAGAAGCACAGGTTATATTTGGACAATTCATTTCGTCTGAATTATCACCACAATCATTGTCTAAATCACAAACCCATCGTTTCTGTATACATTTTCCATTTTTGCAGGTGAACTCGTCTGATCGGCACGTTTCATCTGAAACACAAAGATTAGAAATGATCAGGATTTTACTAGCAAGAAGAAGAGAATCAATACGCGTGTTTTAAAAAAAGTCTCATCATTAAACTAACGATGACTCAACACCAGGTGTCAGGCGACACCCAGTTTTCATTAGACTAAAAGCCCATGAGACATTTTTAAGGGATTATTTGAACCAGCATGGTACAATACGGTACAACAACTTTACTACACAGATGACCCCATAAAAATGTCCCATGGGCTTGTAGTCTGACGGGTATGCGGGGCTCTACCGGCAGTGACTATCCATTCCCTAGCGTGTAATGGGACAAAGATAAACCGGGAACAAACACAAACAACCTCAACCATTCGGAATCTATGGAACTGGATCACAATACAGACTATATTTCCCAAGATCATAAAGAACCAATAAGAAAGTAGTAAGGACAATTATTATGATGAAGAGAGGAAAAGTTTTAGTTATCTAAAACCTACCCGAAAATAGCAAATATAGATGTAGGGTGAATAGATCTTTCAGGTCGCAGTGTGGAAAGATATATGAAGTTAAATGCCTGCTTTATCTACATTTTCTTATCATTAATATTTTGATAGCTTCCTGCTGAAAGCCTTATATGGGAAATTAACAGATTAAATTACAGTAAAATCCCAGCGAATCAAGCAAGTCAAGTAAACAAAATAAAACTCAAAAAGAAATTCAGAAAGTTCAACACGATTCAAAAAAGGTATTTTGAAGGTTTTATTTATTTTACTTATACATTAGAACTCTAATTATCCAAACTCCGATTATCCAATCGTTTTTCTTTCATTTCGCTAAGATAGGATGGTCCGCGCGTGTGTGGCCCTTTCACAGTTCGTTGTGATTACTCAGCCATGTGTCACTATCCACTCCTTCTGTAAGTGTTTCATTGTTCACCATGGCCTTAAAAAAATGTTAAAAATTAAAGAGCAATCAGATAGAGGAGTTACGGGTAAAAGTTGGCTGAGATGTACAGTGTTGGACATCGACAATTTCAGACATTTAACTGAGCAAACGTACACTTTTAAACTTCGTGTCTCTGCTTGAAAACAATGATGGAGGTTTTTCGTATATATGCTTGAAACGATGATGGAAGTTGCTCAAGAAATCAATGAAGGCCGCAACAACAAAGATTTAGAAGTTGTCATTTTAATATGGTTTTTGTAGCTACATTCTCTAAATGTCCATTTCCTCTCCTACCTCGTGAATACGCAGAATAAGCAGAATTTGAAGACCTTCAATATTATCTGATAGAATTACTGTATCGTCTGCATCTCTAATCACATTAAGTAGTTCCCCGTTGATTTTTATTCCATATGGTTGTCTCTCAAGAGTCTTTTTAAATAACTGGTCCGAATAAACATTGAACAATGTTGGCGGGAAAATACAACCTTGTCTGACTCCTCGCTGTATGGGGATTTCATCAGTGTAGTTACCTCCAATTTTTACGATAGCAGTTTGATTACAGAACAAATTTTTAATGACACGAATATCGAAGATATTAATGACACGACACGAAGAAATTTTAAGTTCAGGCGTGGTATCCGTGAATTAGATGTAAATGGTGAGGAGTTATCAGCAAACTCCAAAGCTGCATAAGAATTTATAGAAAAATTAAAGTTGTAGCGGACTCCTATGATCCTGGTTTGCCTAAAATAACTTTAGCCTCTAAAAGAGAGAGTAGTGCTCGAGGACGTCAAGTAAGTAAAGACCGTGTTATGGTGCTTAACTGTGCGAATTGTACGGGGAGCCATAAAATACTGCTTCTGTTAATAGGCAAGTCAAAAAAGCTAAGAGTATTTAAAAATGTGAAAAACCTTCCCCTGTTTTACAAAAACCAACACAAGGCTTGGATCAGGAAGAAGTCATCCCACCAATGAATTGTTGGAAAGAGGCAATGGCCAGTTTACAACAATGTTTTTAACTCCAAACGTTACAAGATTGCTACAACCAATGGACCAGGGCTTGTTTCACAAAACTACAAGTGTTGTTAGTAACAATTGTTAATATTCAGCACTTGTCATCACAAGTTGTTAATAACTAGCGTTTCACAAAAAAATATTTAACTTGTTTGTTACATGTGTAAATTGGTCAGCAACAAGTGTACTTCACGCATGTTAGTTACAAGTTTGTAAATAAACATAACCTTAAAATAGTTTTGTTGACAATTTACTAGTTAAACGTCAGTCGTTATTATAATTCTGTGAGAATGCCAAAAAGCGTCTTAAATGGTACACAAATTATAATTTTAAAAGAGATTAGAGATATGAAAGCAATTCTGTTTGGCAGCTTTTCCGACAAATTAACAAAAAAAGACAAAATAGAATGTTGGAAAAATGTGCACCAAAAATCCACCAGTTTAGGGCTTGTGCCTCCAAATCAGGATTGGACTTGCAGCCGTGATGTGTTTTAGCAAAATTAAAAAAAAAACAACAATGGTAAGTGTTAGCTTTTAATTTGCCAAAGTGTAAGCGTATCTGACACTTTTTTTCGTATTGCAGAAGAAAGTTGATAACAGGAGGAAAACTGGTTCAGGTGGAGGCACAGATTCTAAATTTACAGAAATGGACAATGTAGTTCTCGACATTCTTGGGCCGGATAATCCAATTCTGTGTAGTCTCGGCATTTCCGAAACTCAAGAGCAAGATCCTGAGAAGGAGAAAGATCCTGAGAATGTTGAACAAGAAATAGAAAATTCAAACCATTTGCAAGATCCCGATGCAACAAACAAAATTAAAAACACTAATGTGTTTATTTCTACTGGGAGCAGCAGTGTACCTATTGCATCTTGTGCAAAAAGGAACAAGTCGAAAATATCTAATGAAAATGACCCAACTGGCGAAGCACTAATCGATTTAAAGAAGAAAAAATTACAACACTTAATTGAAATCCTTGCAAAAGAAAGTTATCTAGAAATATTAGAGATTTTAAAACTAGAACGGGAACTACATGTGACCCCTTCAAAATTCACTGTATCGTTCGATTCTGCTGTAACCTACCTCATAAATGTAGAAGAGTCACCTACCAGTGAAAGCGTGGAATATTCGACCATTGTTTGAGAAGTTATGTTATTGTTATATTTGATTTTTTAATTAATAATAAGAAAAACGTTTTGTTTATAGGAATTACTTCTTTGATTTTTCATTTATTATTATGCTAAGTATTTGTTAAATGTTTAGGAAATTATTTTTTCGTTTAAATAAAAAGTAAATATTGTGTAGTATTCTATATTTATTTATTTTATATTCTTTATTGTTTGAAAGTAACAATGGAACTAGTTTCTATTTCTAAAATAATTTATCAACTCCTGTTGTCTTTGTGTTGCATTCACAGGAGCTGGTTGTCCGGCTATTTCGTTAACGTCTTCCATTTCTTCATTATCCATTTGTCGGTTTATATTCATTCTCTCCCTAGTAGTCCCCAAAATATTGGCTGTATATACTAGATTCAAACGAAAGTAGTTAAGACAAGAAAATTTCTCCTTTAATACGCCTAAAGAATTTTCGACTAAACGCCGTGTTTTCTTCTGTGCTCTGTTGTAGGTAGCCACAGCCTCATCCACATTCACCTCAACTGGGTCATAAGCCAATCTAATAGAGGGTATCCAGAGTCACCTACAATTATTCTATTTGGAATTGGATGCCAACCAGCCTTCATTCTCTGAAAAATGGTACTATTTCTCAGTACTCTTGCGTCATGAACACTTCCCGGCCAATTTGCACTAACATAATAGATTTTCAAGTCTGGTCCACAAACAATCATACAACTAATAGAGTGATTTCCATTACGATCAACAAAAGCAGGTTCGTTTTCACTTGGAGCAAATATTTTAATAAGCGTCCCATTAATACAACCTATAACTTGGGTAAATTCTGCTACTGCAAAGAATTCTGCAGTCGTATTTAAAATATTTGCCAGCCAAGCAACAACTTGATGACATTTTATTTGTTTAATTGCGTGTACCACTTTTTTTACACATCTACTGACACTTGTTTTGCTGACCCCATAAGTATCTGCTATGACGTGATATTGTCCTCCACTGCCTAGCCAGTGTAATGCTATACACAATTGCATTTTTGTTGCCAGTGTATAAGAGCGATTTGTTGTATAAAAGTCATCCGAAAACGTTCATTAAACGCGTAAATTGATGGAAAATCACTATTAATTCTTGGTCTGAATATTCTCCTTCTTCTTTGAACAAATACCTCATATTCATTATCTGACAAAGAGCTAATACTAGACAACATTTTTCCTACACTTATTACACTTGTCAAACCAACTACCTACCTTCAAAGTTAGGTAGAAAATTTTTAGTTCACTACAACTGTCAACTACAAACTTGTAAATTATTCTTATGTTGAACAAGTAGATTGTTGGTAGCTTACAAGTAATTTACTTGTAAAATTGTAAAATTCACTAGTGGTTACAAGTGAATACTTGTGCATTCGTGATACACTAATAACTAGATATTTTGCCAAACTTGTAAGAATTTCATTGTAACTGACAAACGTATAGTTTTGTGAAACAGGCCCCAGTCTGTTATCAAAACAAACAATGACACGCTACTCTAGAAAGCTTTTAAGGAAACTTTTGGTAGACCGTGAAGACGACGGTGTGGTGGTTAACCAAAAAATCTAAATTTGAAAGATTGCGCTTAGGTGGTGGCGAAAGCTTGAGCTTGATTAAGGCAGTCACATTAAGACGTGTGTGGAACAAGTTAAAAGGCATATCAGCTAAAGATACAGAAGATAATAAAGATGACTTGTCAATTGAGGAATTAAGAAACATTATTTTGAAAACGTTGGAGCTAAAGATGTAGCAGAGTGGAACGTGTGTGATTCGTCGGACCTTGGGTTTCAAATTCTAAATGATGATGAGCTGATTGAAAGTGCGACAGAAGAAAATGTCGAGGAAGAAGACGACGTTAATGTCGAAGGTAATGGGACCATCAGCAAGTGAAGCGTTTGTTGGCCTTGCAACTGCGTTGAAGTGGACGGAGGGTAAGTCCGAATGTGACCACATTTAACTTCTTACTTTCAAGGGGAAGCGTGACTTGGCTGTCCGAAAACGGATCTCGACAGTCAAATAATTAACTCTGACCGAGATATTCAGGAAACAACGAGTTTTATTTTATGTATATTAATGTACATACATTTATTTTACTTACTTTTCCATATAGACATTTATTTACTTTTTTTTATTATACATATGTGGTATGTATATGTTAAAAAATGTAAAAGTATCGCATTTTCGTTGATGTAAGTAATAAAAATGCATACAAATACAATGCCAAAAATAAGTAATGACTCTTTTACATACTTTAAAATATACCCTTGTTTCAGAATAAATCCAATTATCTGAATTTTTTATTATCTGAATGTAGTTCGGTCCCAATTGATTCGGATAATTGGAGTTCTACTATATACTTTTAATAGTTTTAATAAATTAAGTCGGCTGATAGTGAAATCTGATATATCATACAATGTCATGATTGCCATATTAAATATCATCAACATCGTTTCATGTTATAATTATTAAATAGATAAATAGATGTGATATCTAATTAGAAACCATATATATCTTCTAACAGTTTCAGCGTAGCCGATTCGTACATTTCTTAATAAATACATACAGTACATTTTTTTTATTTATCCGCAACAACCACTAGGGTTGTTAGCGGTAGGTTTATGATACAAATAGAGAAAATAAGGTACATTTTAAAGGTCATTACTTACAATAATATGGTACAATGTATATGTATGTATAGGATTTCTCATTATATTTTGACCCCAACTTATTTTCCTTAATTTCGGGAATACAAAAAAAGTTTCATATAAAAGTTGGATTATTATATCTGTACCGACCAACAGTGTAGCAACAGACCAAATTTTGTATACAGGGAGTGCCCAATAAAATGCATCTTCAATATTTCAAATGGGACACCCTGTATTTTTTTATAGTTTTGAGTAGCCCTGCTTTTCCTGATTACCAATATATAACATTGTGTAGGATTAGTTTTGTTCTATAATGGCATATGGTATTACAAAAGGGTAACCATAGGTGGCTATGCAACTGACATTTCAGAATGAAACAATTATTAATTTGGACATGTAATGGGACCCACATAAATGATATTTGGTTTGGTTTTCCCAGAAAATTGGAGCTATTGCAACGCGTCTTTAATTAGGAATAGATTGCCGTGTGTAGGATTTTTCTTCTTCTTCGAGTGCCGTCTCCCTACGGAGGTTGGTAATCATAATGGCTAGTGTGTAGGATAAACATGTTTAATGACCTATAAAGAACTTAAAGAATCTGATAATATTAGTATTTGTTTTTCATTTGTGGTTTTACAATGATTTAGTGCGTCAAGTATTGCTTGGAGCTCTGCGGTATAAATAATACAGCCGTCAGTTAATCTAGTGGTAGAAATTACGTTTTCTGATTCAGTAGCAGCTGCTACTTCGTTGCAATCTTTGAAGCAATTTGTAAGTGGAATATTTGAGTAAATTTGCATGATACTGAAGCCTCACCTCAGCAGAAATGTGTGAATGCTTATCATGACTAAGTAAGGAGAGGTCTACTATTGGTAAAGAAACTGTCCAGGGAGGTGTCTGGTATATTTTTATGGGTGCCAAGGTGATTTGATTGATATAATATGGTAGTATTTTAACTCGTTCGTAAAATAGTACTGTCTTGCTGGTGTAATTTATGTATTGTTCTAGTGATTCTTGTTGCTAAAAGTTCTAGTTGCTAAAAATGTGAATTGCACGAATCTCTCCAATTTGTCATTGATGCATTAAACCGAATCCGAAACAATGCGTTAAAATGGCGATAACTTCCATCAATTACTTCTTTACACTAATGCACGCTGACTGTTGAAAGGCTTATGCCTGACAAGATTTTTTACACTATTTGAAAGTGTTTTAGAGTTTCTCGATAGTAAAGATACAAATTTTAAAGAAAATTTATTAAAAAGAAAAACAGACATTGCTTATTTGACATATTTATTTTCTAAATTTAATATAGTGAACTTGCAGTTGCAAGGAGTTGCATTTAAATGTTATAAAAAACAAGTTGATCATTTTAGCGTTTCTTGCCAGAATTAAAAAGATGAAGCAAAACATTGGACAATACAAATTTTCCCAGTTGTCCCTATGTCCAACATTTAAATTCCGTCTATTCAGATTGTGAAACTAGATTTGATGATATTTTGACGCTGGTAATACCACACTGATTATTAATTTATTTTGTGACATTAAAGAAATCGATGTTAGTATATTTTAAATAAAATTTAACTAATAAATGTGTAAAAATGTGTCACTACTATTAGAAATTTAAATCTTTTAAAGTAAGGGGTTTATATAAAATTGAAAAACATGACAAGAGGTCTGTCTATGAGAGAAAAACGTTTAGAAACCTCTGACTAGAGCGTGAATTAAATATACTCTTTGCAGAGACTAATATTGATTTTCAAATACGGGTAATACAATTTTAGAACGACATATATAGTAGGTTTATAAGTGTATACTTACTACAAGACTTCTCGTCGCTTCCATCGGAACAATCTGGATTATCATCACACATCCAAGTTAAAGGAACACATTCTCCAGGAACAGATCTACAGGTAAATTCGTCTAAGTTGCATACTTTTTTTTCTGAAATCAAAATTCATACTTTAGATTAACAATAACTATATGTAATTTTAAGAATCCGTAACACTTCTCATAAATACACTTGAGCTAAAGGCACTTGGCGTAAGGCAGGTGACCTAAACGACATTTGACTTAACGCTATTTGTCCGAAAGTCATCTGAACTAACGTCGTTTGACCTAATGTTAATAGACAAATAGACGCTTGTAGCATGCTGAAAATTTATTAAAAACTATCGAATATTGAAATTTTGAAAGTGTAAAGTATTGAAAGTGTAAAGTATTGAAAGTGTAAAATTTTCTAGTATAGTCGACACGTAATTGTAAAATGCTAGAAAATGGCAACAATGTTCGAGTGACCGCGCCTGAACAGTAGCGTAAATATTTAATTTTAAATTAAATAAAAGTTTTTATTTTTTTTTTTATTTAAGAAAAAGTTTCATTTTCTATAACGTTTAAATAAATATATATATATATATATATATATATATATATATATATATATACATATATATATATATATATATATATATATAATATATATATATATATATATATATATATATATATATAATATATATATATATATATATGTAAAGAATAAAAGCTGCTATCGCTTTGTTTTATTAAATTGGCCAAATATATGGCCTAGGAGGACAAATTCGTTAAACTTCCTGTGTTCGAATCGGTATAAATAAAGTGTTATGACTCATTTCGGCCTATCCCAGCCTCATCAGACACTTGGGCTGATACAAATTCAAACACGGAAAGTAGAACGAATGTCTCCTAAAGCTTCACCACTGCAGTGGTTTGCGAGCAGAGGCGCCACCTGCTTTGGCGGCCGTGAACGAAAACGATATAATCACATCGTTTTCTACCTCTGGGCTATGCGAAATGTGTAAAGAATACATCTTTTAGCAAAAAGCTGCTAGGTAATAGAAAAGGTATTCTATTAACTACTTTGGTTTGACACCGTGTGAGAGAAGACTTAAGTACCTCAATAATTTAAAAATGGGTAAGAGGTCAAAAACTTTTATGAACATCTTTTTTAATATATCTAGCAGGTATTTTATAACCTAACCTGTACTTTGACTATTTTAAATTAAATAATTATGTTGTAAGTCGATATTTTAGAGTATTAACAAATGGAAAAATATCAAAACCACACGCTTTGGACAACGGTTTGCCTCAGGGCTCAGTCTTAAGCACTACCTTATTTTTACTTAGCATGAATGACTTTTCCTCATATATAGAACCACCAGTCAGGTACTCGATATATGCTGATGATATTATATTATACTGCCGAGGCAGAGTCACAGCTACCACAAGCACTTTGCTACAAAACACAATAAACAAAATAGACACCTGGTCTACGCGTGCTGGATTTGTGTTTTCAGCTCCTAAATCCAAAGTAATTCACTTTACCAAAAAGCATAGACCTAATCCACCTTCTATAACTCTAAACGGACTTCGTTTACAAACAGTTAATTATTTGACACTTCTTGGTATCACCTTTGATAAAAAGCTTATCTGGAGACAGCATATTCAGAAACTTAAAGGAAACTGTACCCAAAGAATCAATTTACTTAAATCTCTTGCTAGCTTCTCTTGGGGAGCTGACGAAGAATCTCTTCTTAAAATATATAGAGCGTTAATTCGCTCTAAGCTAGATTATGGCAGTATTCTTTATATGACATCTAGTAGCTCCCTACTAAAGTCTCTAAACACGATTCAAAATACATCCCTACGACTATGCCTCGGTGTTTTCAAATCAAGCCCCGCTGAAAGTCTGTGCGTTGAATCTTCAGAGCCACCACTCCATCTAAGAAGGCAGCAGCTTCTACTTTCATACTTTGTAAGAATATCAGCAAACCCAAGTAACCCGGTAATAAATCTAATCAATCCCATAGAACCTCCCCCAGTAAACGCTTCCAATCAGTCTCTCACATTACCACAAATATTATCTCCTTTATTAGATTCCATCAACCTCTCCAATACTACTTCTATTTATACCCCCAAGACAGCTCCATGGATGCACAATCTTCCAATATTCAATACAGATTTATGCAGATTCGACAAAACAGAAACCCCAAACTTAATCCTTAGAAAATCCTTCCAAAACATCCTTAACTTAACACAATTTGATGAAATTTTATACACCGATGCGTCCAAGAATGAAGACTGTTGTGGCTCCGCTGTGTCCACACTGACGACGACAATAAGCTCTGTGCGATTGCCTAAAAGTTGTAGTATCTATACCGCAGAATTATATGGAATACTCCAAGCATTAAAGACTTCAATCCGTCCTACTTCAAATGAAAGCATAAAAATCGCCATTTGCACTGATTCTCTTTCCTCGATTTATTCAATAAGATGCATTTTCTCGAAAAACCCACTAGTCCAGGAAATCCACACTATCTGTAACCAACTATATTCTGCTAACATAAAAGTCATAATGATCTGGACTCCATCTCATGTTGGTATATTGGGAAACGAAAAAGCAGACCAAGCCGCTAAAGCAGCATGTTCTTCTGACATAGCCTTCCAAGAGGTCCAAATCCATACGGATCTTAAAATATTGATAAAACAAAAAATCCTCAGCTCATGGGCGGACCTGTGGAGTAAAACAAAAACTAAGCTCCATGAAGTTCAGCCCAACTTATCTCGCGTCAATATCTCCTCTATGAACAGGAAAGAAAAATCAGTTATTCACCGACTACGAATAGGGCATACACGTCTCACACATGGATACCTTATGGCATCAGAAAACCCTCCAGTATGCCACTACTGTAATAACGTCCTTTCCATCAAACACGTGATAGTGGACTGCTGCCAGTATGACTCTTCCAGAAACAAGCACAGCCTAAAAGGAAATCTAAAAGACATTCTCAGTGTTCCAAACCGTTTTGACAGTGTTCTTAGATTTTTAAAAGAAACAAGTTTATTTCAGCTAATATAAACAGTGCATAGTGATAAGCTTTATTGTTCTAACCTTTCTATAAAAAAAAATGTTCATATTAAATTCTTGTACCTATACCTATATAAAATATGTATAATGTTGTAAACTACTGTACCCGTGTCAATGACCATAAGCTGTCGAGACACGTTAATTTTAAATAAAAAAAAAAAAAAAAATTATGTTGTATATTTTTGTTCTATCATGAAGTGTATTTGTACTCTATTTTCAAAGATATACTTATAAGCAAAACGAGAATATCTACAATTACAATAAAAATAAAGGTTTCAACTAACACCTAGTTGGACACCTTTTCCACTGCGATTACATGTTTGATTACATTTTTCCAGTTGGTTGCTGTGATCTTTGTGACTTGTCTTCTAGTTAGCTAAAGAGCAGTAGACAAAAGTTTAGGAGCCACGTTTCTTCTTCTTCTATTTCATTCAAGTTGAGTCCATATTAATTCTATTGGGTTCAATTTACAATAGTAAGGAGGAAGGTCAAGCACGGTATGCCCATTACTGCGAGTACAGTTATCAACAACATATTCCTTCTGGTACTGTCTACCATGAACAACATCCAACAATTGCTTTTTACTATATGATGACTCAAAATACAAATCTCTCTCAAATAAAAATTCTTGAATTTGTAATTTGTTTCAAGTAATATTTGTAATTTTCTCATTAATCTTGAATGATATGATACGTTATCCATGATAATCACACCATATTTAGGTAATCTCGGAAGAAGAGATTCTTCAAACCATGATTCAAAAATTAAACTTTCCATATTCTCATGATAATCTAGAGACGCGTTTTTACTCATATTCTTGTCAATGCCAATGAAGGTTATCCTGTATAGATGTCATGTAAGCCATAGTTAAAAAATTGTAAGTGAAGTTACAATGTTATTCATATCAAGTCTCGACATATGTTCTTCCCCCTCAGGTACCTGGTCGGTGAGTTATCTTAACAGCGTACTTTTTTATCTTATTTCTCTGTACTAATAAAGGTTGAAGAAGGAGTACTCAAAAAAGAGGATTTAGAGTTATGTAATTCACATTCATCAACATTTAAAGAAGTATCTGTAGATGAAGTAACAAAATCGTGTGGAGCCGCTGTTGCGTATTGACATTTTTTTCCCTATGGTAAAATAAACCCATGATCTTCACCACTGGGGCGTGAAATTCTGCCCTAACTCCTTAAGGCTTGCTCATTTGCATTTTATGTTATATGGTATTCGTATATTATTTTTGTAATAAATTATTGTATAAATTGAGACAAGAAAGTGTCGATATTTGTAATTTTTCATATTATAACAGTTCTGTATAAAGACCGTTGTAATGTTTTGCCATAAAAACTGAGCTATTATGCATTTACAAATCGAGTATAGTGACCAATATGCTTCACTAGTAAAATATTATTAATTTTATATAATTTTTTACATCTTTTGGTTTTCCAGACCTTTTTGTTTATTAACCAAATAAATATAAAAATAATAAACGCCATAAATTATTTCTTTGACGTGTATAACCAACGAATGTAACGGCCCAGCGGTGGCAATCAGAGTCATCTGATTGTATAGTAATACTACAAACAATTTTTACGTCAAAACACGTGCTTATTTATTAGTTTACACACGAATTGACAAACAGGTAGAAGGTTAGAATTAGTGATTTTGTAATACATTTGAATGTATTGTAATAATTTCCAGATAAACCGATTGTTAAAATGCCGAACATTTTGATTTACTTATCTCTAAAAAAAAACGGACCTAAAGTTTTGACCTTAGTTTCCGCTAAACGTTGTTATTTGTACAAATCTTATTAATATAAACAAATACTTACGACATATTTGTTCATCTTCATCACTTCCATCGTTACAGTCCTTTTCGTTATCACATTGCCATATAGACGGTATACATTTGCCACTATTACATTTAAATTGATCTTTTGAGCAGGTTACATTACCTAAAAAAGAAAAAAAAATATTACTTTATTGAAATGAATAAAAACAAAATCTTACTTAATCTTAAAATGAATGGAAAATATAATTGATATGGAAAATTGGTATTTTTATTAACTCGCCGCGTGTTTAACGGCACTCTAGGTTTTGCTTTCTGTAACAAAGGTAAAAATAATTTGTCAGCAGCCACAAAAAGAAAGAAAATGATGTCTATAAAGTTAGCATATCCATTTTATAATGTCTGTGGTGGTGAGTGGTAATTATCTCCCAATCTCCTAGTACCTGAGGGAAATTATATCCTAGACACATTCTCCTATCTATTTACTAAAGTTTCCCTTCCCATATACTACTCTGATGTCGGTCAGCGGCATCACCGGTACCAAGATAGAACGTAAGTGTCTGTTCATAACGAGCCGACGACCCTCGGTCGGACCATAGGATGATATCATAGTATCATCGCGACGTAAAATAAATGCATTATTTTAAAAATGCCAGCGTTCACCGTCAAAGCGCAGCGCCCAGCCTCGAGCCAGGTGTCGGACCATGGACTTGGACCATAGTATTCCAGGAGTATTTTTTCGATTTTCGTCCCTAGTATTCTACGATCGACACTACTAGGTGCCGACCTATAAGCCATCAAGCTTGCAAAAATTAATGCAAATGATAGGTTTATAAAAAATTCTGGCAACTCTCAACAAGCTATGTGGAAACTTATTAATACTAACAAACATAAAAATGTTTTCTTCACTGATAATTCTAAACTCAATGCAGATAGTTTTAATAGCCACTTCTCCTCAACTGCTGAGAGAGTAATAAATGAGCTTGAGGTTCCTCAGCTAACTCTTGATGACTATTTAAAGTATATATCACAAAAAAATATTCCATGTTTTAGTTTTCAGCCAGTGAACTTTAGTGAAGTTGACTTAGCTATTACAGAAATAAAAAATAGTAACAGCAAAGATCCTGATGGGTTTAACACAAAAATTATTAAAACAATTAAAGATATAATTGTTCAACCTCTAACAACTTTAATAAATCAATCAATATTTTGTAATACTTATCCTCGTTTTCAAAACTGCAAAGGTAGCACCTCTGTTTAAGAATAAAGGCTCTATTGATGATTATAACAATTATCGACCCATTTTTTTGCTGCCCATCTTATCAAAAGTTTATGAACGAATTTTAAAAAATCAAATTAATCTATATTTTGAATCTAATAAACTGTTTGCCATAAACCAGTACGGATTCCGAAAAAATAAAACAAGAACTTTAGCTATTGATAATTTCACTGGCAATGTTTTGAAAGGGTTTGAGAAATATCTTGATACTCTTGCATCGTTCTTAGATCTTACTAAGGCTTTCGATAGTGTCACACATAGTATTCTGCTTAGAAAACTTCCTTATTATAATTTTCATAGTGATGCTATTCAACTAATTGATTCATATCTATCAAATCGTGATCAATATGTTCACTTCAACCAGTGTGATTCTCAAAAACAATCTTTGTTGTTTGGTGTCCCTCAAGGCTGGGTTTTGGGTCCAGTATTATTTCTTATCTATATCAATGATCTAGTGTACTCTCAAAATGAAACAGTCAACACTGTTTTATTTGCTGATGACACTACTTTCTATGCAAGCTATCATCCTTCTGAATTCGACACCCTTAATTACCAAACATCTGAAAAAAACTTATTCGATTGGGTTTTAACTAACCGTCTCTCTTTGAACAACTCTAAATCACAAAGTGTTAATTTTACTTTAAGAAATAACACTTGTGTCGAAAACGTTGCTCTACCACAATGTGTAACCGGAGCGAAGTTTCTCGGGATATATTTGGATGCAGGATTAACCTGGGAACAACATATAGTTAATCTATCGAAAAAGCTTTCCCGACAACTTATTCTCTTCAGGAACCTTGTACAAGTGACTTCCAGGGAAACTATTTTAACAGCTTATCATAGTAATTTTCATTCTCATCTGACATATGCTATTCTCTCCTGGGGTCACTCTTGTCATATCGATAAAGTGTTTGCACAACAAAGAAAGTGTATTCGTATTATCTCTGGGCTCTCTTATAGAGCAGACTGTAGAAACTCCTTTAGAATTTAATTTTAACCTTACCTTGTGTATACATTATGCAGTGTATGTTGCACATTAAACAAAATTTTAGCCAATACAATGCGCATGTAGATTTTCATAATTATCCCACCAGATTTAACAATAATCTTATACCAGAATTTAGCCGACCAGAATTTATACAATGCGAGGGTCTCCGTAATGAACGCACCCTAAGAGAAATGATTCCGGATCGGTCCATTATTGGATACTAAAAGTTTTAAATTAACGATTACCGGTATAAGTAATTCCCCACTTGTTGTTCAATAGCTACGGGTGAAAGAACCTACATGTGGTAGGGCACTTCATTACCCTGGAGCTGAGAAATTAACTCCCAATGAGAAAGAGCTAAATTAGTCTACGGCATTGAGATGTTGAAAGCCACGGGATGACTACCACATTAAAGATCCGCATGAACATTATTAGTAAAAATCATCGTGGGCCCACTAGTCGATAATTTATGATAATGATCATGGAGCTCGGAATCCAAGATCCGGCAGGAAAGAACAATCAGATTTAGACGACAGGGTCTTTCGTGTTGTCATTAAGGTAAATCTCTGTCAAACAAATAAAAATAACTCAATAGCACGGAAAATTGGAACATGGAACGTAAGACGTTTATACCAATCAAACTAAATAACACTGTCGGAAATGTGCAGAATGTTGACGATTCCCTGGATAGACAGAGTTACCAACGAAGAAGTACTAAACAGGGTGAGTCATGAGGAACTTTACATACCTCTACCATATGTAGAGTCCCTCAGGGAGCATATCATGTGGCCACTAAAAAATGTCAACTCCTCTTCTTTATTAATTAACACGGTGATTTGTGTAATTGACCATTTATTTCATTTTACTGTAGTGTTTATACGGATCATTTGATTTTTTTAATTTTTGCATGATACAGTACACTACTATCAAGCATTCGACTGGTATTAGCTAAACTAAAAAATTCCAGGACTGGTTTTGGAAAAATTAATTTAGGGATTCGTATTAAATATTACACCCTGTATATATATTTTTTAAAATGCAATAAGTGATTTTCAAACTACATAAATAGCCAATGAAAACGACATATGCGACAATGTTGTCGCACTTTTATTAAATTTTTAGTGAACGATCAAATCTTATCAAAAATAGAACAACCATAATGAAGTATCAAATTATAAGGTAATTAATTTAAACAAATGTTATAAATTTCAAACATTTTAATTGAAATGATAAACTGAGTCACTGCACAACAAAAAACAGTAACTACTAACAATAACGAAGAACAATTAAAAAAAAAACTAAAAATATGTACATAAATATGATAAACCAATAAATTAAAACTGGAAAAGATACAATAATGGTAACAAAATAAAAATACTTCAAAATAGATTTTCGAAATGGAACCCTGCAGCCTGTACACATTTTTGTTGCCGAATTGTTAATTGACGTATTGAATTACGGATACTCTGGGGATCGTTTCTAATAGTATTACAACAATGTATAATTCTATCAATTAATTGTTGTCGGTTATTAATATTCACTGCGTAAACTAGTTGCTTCAATCGTCCCCAAATATGGTAATCAACGGGATTGAAATCAGGGGATCTTGAAGGCCACGAAATAGGACCTGCACGTCCTATCCACCCGTTGCCATAAACATTATTGAGATGTTGTCTCACTGCCAGTAAAAAGTGTGGGGGTGCCCCATCATGCTGAAAATACATCCCTCGGATGGCAACGTTCGCGTTGGCAAGCAAATTCGGCAAAATATTTTGTAGAAAGTTCCAATAGACCTGCCCTGTTAAAGTACCATCAAAAAAGTGAGGACCTACTAATTGGTTATTTATGACACCAATCCACACGTTAACCGAAAACCTTAACTGAGAACGACGTTCTCGAATAGCATAGGGATTTTCTTCTGCCCACACATGTGAATTTCGTGAATTATTTATCCTGTCTCTAATAAATTGGGCTTCATCTGTAAAGAGTGTCCTGTATAGCGTTGGTCGATTATACAACCGATTGTACAAAATTCCAACCTATCGATCTCATCTCCAGCATGTAGTCACTGAACCATTTGAATGTGATATGGGTATAGATTATTTTTTTGTAAGACTCTACTTACTTTTGATTGAGTAACATTGAGCTCTCGACTTACTTGTCTAGTGCTTATTGTAGGGTTCATAGGAACGGCGTCCATAATGTCATCTTCCTGCGCTTCATCTACATGTCGCTCTGTTGTTCCACTAGGAAAAGTGCTATTTTCTCGCAAATAATTAAAAACTGACCCAAATGTTGGATGACTGGGAGTTCGACGATTAGGAAATCTCCTGCGATATTCTCTACTAGCAGCCCTACCATTCCCATTACAGAGTCCATAAACAAATATTATGTCTGCATATTCTGTTGTTGAAAACTGATGTGGCATTTTGAACGAAAGTAACAAAAGCTCTACGCAAGTAAAAAAACTAACACAATGTACTTAACGTAGATATGACAGAAGAAATATGTATTCTTGTACACATAAATAACAATTGATAATGACAATAATGACAATGGGTATAAAATATCAAGAAACGTCAAACGGTCAACGCCAACCTTCATTTTAAACTTTTTTAGATTTATTTTTATTTAGTACAGTTGATGCAATGTATTATTGTTTGACATAAAATTTTAATCATTTACAATCAACAAAAACTAACACATACAAGAGGTTTGACTTTTTAATCAATTTAATTTATTATTTATCGAAAATAATGCCCCAATACGATCTATGAGTAAAAATTTAAAATTGAAAAACAATTGATTCTATCGTAGAGATAATACAAAGTGACAGTAAAGATTTTAATTTTCTACGTATTAGATTATGTTGTAGGAACTCATTTTAATTAAAATGTTTGA